TATCTAACAACAGAGAACATTTATTGGGAACTTTTCTAACGTCAGATACAGCACTTACTATTTTGTGACAATGGCACTTATCTGTTGCTTAGTAACATGCCATCCCGAAGGAGCAGCTTAAAACAATAATAACCGTTAACTGTGCTCACAGATCTGGGGAAGGAGGGGGCTCAGTGCTTCTCAGGCAGTTGCTATCAGGCAGTGGATGGGCTGGGGCCATCTTGAAAACTTTTCCATTCACCTATTTGGCAGTTGGGCTAGAAGGAATCAAACAGCCGGGGTCTGGAATAGGTGGGGCTCCTTGGGCATCTCTCTCTGAGTGGTTTCTTCAGTTGTGGCAGCCTCAGGGCAGCCAGACTTTCCATATGGTAGCTGAATTTTTCCACAGTGAGTTCACCATGAGACAATGGTAGAAGTCGTCCTCTCTAATTGGCCCAAGGAAATCAAGCACATCCTTTCCACCACATTCTATTCATCAAGGAAGTCCAAAGACCCATCCGAGTTCAAGGAGAGGGGAAATGTACTGTAATTTTTTATGGGTATCGAAGAATTTCCAGATATTTTAAAATCACCGCATATACATTATGTCATTAACCTTCACAAGGTGGATACTGCTATTATCACCCACAGGACGGATAAAGAAGTTAAGCCAGTGTGGTTAAATAACTCTCCCAAGGTCAACAGCTAGTGTCAGTGGTAGGATTTGATTCCAGATAGTCTGACTGCCGACACTATACACTCTTAACCTCTGTGCATGCTCTCTTGACACTGAGATTGGTAACCGGACACACACTGACAATTCTGAAGGGAATTTTGCTATCAACCACAATGATCAGGTAAAAAAAAAAAAAAAAAATTGAAAAGTCTGTATTATTTCCCTTTATCCAAATTTCACAAGAAAATCAGATGTAGCCAGGCTGTTTTGCAGAATATGCATCTTTTAAATAGACAGTTATTGAGCATCTCGTCAACATCTGCAAAGCACAATCGCTATCATCAAAGGAACTTCCACTCTAGCAGGGAAGACAGACATGTTCACTAATAAACTAGGGAGTGAATGACAGGCAGGGAGAAGGGGATCACTGAGGATGAGCTGAGCAGAAACCTGGCCAGTAGCCCTGTGAACATTGGCCCAGGCTCTTTAAGGTGAAATAGTGCTCTCTGCTACTAATATTAAGCAGCCCCAGGGCAGATTACCTTGTAAGCCGTCTTGTCCCATGCAAGGAGCTGCCATCTACCCTTTCATCTCACCAGCCAGATCCGCTTTCCTGAAATTCCATCTGAAACTGAAGTTCAGAAGGACAATGAGAACAATACATCGGTCATTGGTCTCTCATTGAAAAGTAACTATCAGTTGTTTGGTTTTATATTTTTTGTTTACTCCAGTGATGGGTGGGAAGATGACATATCAAATAATAATTAAAATAAATCACACTGCTACCTCTACACCATCAGGCTCTGGACCATCTACCTGTGCAAATAGAGAGGATGCAGAACATGTCTTCCAAGATCTCAACAGCCAGGTACGGACTCCCTTTTGTACTGTTAGGAATTCCCTCTTTTCCTCGAACTCTCCCCAAGATTTCCAGTGTTCTTATAATAATGATAATAATTCCTTATTTTTATAAATCTTTTCAATGCATTTGTGTTTTTATTATTACATTCAATATGTTTATTCAGTTTCCATATTGGATTTATACCTTAGAGTGACTTAATTTAGTAATTTCTTTCCCAGAAATATTTGTTTTTTTAAAAAAACATACTGGCTGCTATTGGAAACCAAAGCGCTCAATATGTTACAAGTTTTAGAAACACATGGGAAAGAGAAAAGGTTTTAGAACAGGAGACTTTCCAGGAGACCAGATCGCAGCGTGTGAATGTGTCCTTTCTGACAATTTTTGAGGGCAACCGACCCCATAGTGATCTTACTCACCTTAAACAAAACCATCTCGACTATTCTCCAACACAGTGCCCTTGAAAATGCAAGACATCAACCCCAATTCAGAGAATTACATAAACAAATGACATCACGGATACTTTTATAAAAGCCAAATTTTGGAAAAGAAATGGGACCAAAGGCCATTCACAGAGGTGAGATTCAGAACACGGTACTCAGCAATTGGCAAGGCACAGGTCCTAAGTAATCAGAATGGGACACTGTCCAATAAGGACACAAGATGGCCACGAACAACTGACAACCGGTTCAGCTACATGAGAGAGGGGAGCACATCTGAATATTTCCCGGATGTTAGGGAATGGAGTACCTGAGGAAGTTGGGGAAAGCCTTGGAGAAAGAGAAGGGGCACCAAAAACAGAGCCAGAGAGTCAAAGATAAATTTTATTCATTTGCAAAGTTCTTAGATCAACGTTTTTCCCATTGGCAATGGCCATGCAGAATATGACGACATGCTCCTATGGCAGGGAAAACAATTTAAATAAAAGTTTAAATCAAATGTAGCCTTGCTGAACAGATATAAAATCATGAATATTTTTTAAAAATTACTTTCTATGCTTCGGTATTATAAAATTAATCAGATGAAAACAAGAAATCAGTATAAACTCAGAATAAGGGCAAAAGTACACAACTTAACACAAAGGGAAAAAAACTAATTTTAATCTATAATAAGTTTTTCTCATTCAGTTTATCACATACACGATTCATTGTCACCCATAAGTTCCAATTATGATATCTATTACACTCAAGTTAAACCAACACTTAGACTCAGCCATTACTCTAATTTCTAATAGATTGTTTCTGTGTATAAAGCAGAGAATTCCATTGCAAAGAATCATGAGATATTAACTCAAAAGACTGAAAAGATGCCTTATTAACAATGAAACCAGTGATTAATTTTGATTCAAATATAATCAATACTCTCATCAATCGGCAATTACATACAGTCAATTTAATCAGCACAGCTGTATTTTAAGCTGTTGTTGCTCTAAGCATTTCCGTGATTATATGCCACAAACATGAAGGAGAAATTTCTGTCACATTAAACATTTTAAAACAGCATTTTTCTTGCCATGACTCTGGGTAGATTATTGCTCATGAAAATAGACATCCACCTTTTTCTTCTCTTTCATAAGTATTCCTGGAACAAAACCGTGAAGCCAGAGTGTGCTGTGGTTTAAATAATTGGCTAAAAAAGAAGTAATCGTTCTCTCTAGAGCACCAACTGGTCACTCCACTCCTCTGCTGAAATTTAGGAGCAGTATGCAGGGGACACCAGATAAAGAACAACACTTCTCAGAAACTCAGACTTACAAGGTACATTGACCTGACCCAAGACCGGGATCCACCCACAACCCGCCTTTGTCCTCCAAGGGACAAAGGACATCACTATCATCATTCATCCACTTCATGAAAATTTGAGGCACCAGGAGGACAATAAATGACCCTGTAAAATTCACGACCTCTCCAACTTGCATCCCTATGAGATTTGGTCATTTTCTGCTATTTAGTATTAACATGAAATATGGTACTGTTGGCCCCTCTCAATGAAGACTAATTTGTGCAACAGCCAGCGCAGGGCACAATCTTTATAAAATATGAATAAGTTTCACATTTTGCCCTCTGTTCCTGCCCACCTCCTTAATAAAAGGCTAATTTTGCCCCTTAAATAAAATACTAAGAACATCAGTGATGTGAACTTGTCAGGTTTGGGCCCTTTTATCCATACACAGATAATTAAATAAATGTATTATTTGATTTTAAACCCAACCATAACACATCATTAAAAGAACTATATTGTTCACAGTTAGTGAGGTTTCGTTAAAAGGTAGTTTGTTTATCCATACACAGATAATTAAATAAACATATTATTTGATTTTAAACCCAACCATAACACATCATTAAAAGAACTATATTGTTCACACTTAGTGAGGTTTCGTTAAAAGGTAGTTTGTTTTCTCCAATCACCAACCACACTTGCCAGCCTCTATTTTGTTTTTGTATTCTTTTTTAATTTCAAAATAGTAAGGGGGTCCAAATGTTTTTGTTACATGGATAGCTCAATCCTGGGCTATTAGTGTGCCCATTACCCAAATAGGGTTCGTTGTACATGTGAGGTAGGTTTTTACCCCTCCCCACATCTTGATTTCCAATGACTTTTACTTCTCTCTGTGCCCATGTGTGCCCATCGATTAGCTCCAAATTATTAGAGAGTACATGTGGTGTCTGTTTTTCCATTCTCAAGATACTTCACTTAGGATAATAGTCTCCAGTTCCATCCAAATTGCTGCAAAAGACATTAATTCAATTCTTTTTATGGCTGAGTAGTACTCTTTGGTGTATATATACCCTATTTTATTAATCCACTCATGAATTGATGGGCACTTAGATTGATTCCACATCTTTGCAATTGTGAATTGCACTGTGATAAAGAATTGAGTCAGCTGTTTTTTGGATAAAATAACTTCTTTTTCTTTGGGTAAATACCCAGTGGTGGGATTGCTGGATCAAATGGTAGGTCTACTTTTAGTTCTTTGAGGAATCTTGATACTGTTTTCCATAGAGGTGGTACTAATTTACACTCCCTCCAACAGTGTAGAAGCATTCCTTTCTCTCTTCGGCCACACCAGCATCTATTGCTTTTTGACTTTTTAGTAATAGCCATTCTGACTGGGATAATGTATTATCTAATTTTGGTTTTAATTTGCATTGCCCTGATGATTAGAGATGTTGATCATTTTTTAATATGATTTTTAGCCATTAGTCTATTTTCTTTTTCATTTATGATTGAGCTTCTAGTAAATTTTTCATTCATTTCCTGAATTGTTTTTCTGGTTTCTTTTTGTTGGTTTTCCATTTTCTCTTGGATCTCATTGAGCTTTCCTGCAATACATACTTGGAATTCTTTATCATCATTTCAATATTTTCATTTTGGTTGGGATTCATTGCTAGAGAGCTGGTTTGCTCCTTGAAGGATGTCTTTTCACCATGATTTTTCATACTTCTAAAGTTCTTGTCCTGATGTCTTTTCATCCTGATTTTTCATACTTCTGAAGTTCTTGTCCTGATTCCTTCTCATCTGGAGTATCTATCACTTCTTGTTTTTGGATTCTCGTTTGTTTACATGGGGCTTTTATCCCTCTCACCCTTAAGGGTGTGTCTGTAGCATATGTTGTGTAAGAACCTTTGCCTTTGCTTGTGGGTTGCTTTGATGGAGGTCTAGGTTCTGGATGGATACCTTGGTTATATATATCCTTAGTGTGGTGGTTTTCTCAGTTGCTAGTCATTTGCGGGCAGTACTGATGTTGTACTATGTTCATGGGCAGATTTCCCGTCTCTTGTTGACAAAGGAAGATGGCGGTCTTTGAAATCCTTTCTCTTTCCCCAGCCCTCTGGTCTTCTTAACACTGTGAATCATATTGGGATACCCAGTTTAATCTCTAAGATGGTCGGTGGTGCTTATGGGTGAGAATCAGACATGCCACGAATGACTGAGTCAGTAAATTCTCTAGCAGGCTGTATAGGTTGTTCTTCCTGTCAGTGTGTGGGACTTGCTTGAAAGAGCCAGCTGCAGTGTTGTTCTTTGGGCCCTGTGACCAACTCTAGTCCATGAGGAGAAGCACTTGAATGCCCCAGGCAGTGGGTGGGACCCTGGAGTTCGCTGGGGACTCCTTATTCTCCACTACAGCAGAGGTGGGTGGAGGAGCAAGGCTAGATGGGTCTGGGTCAGGGGAACCTGTCTTCTGGTTTCACAGAGTTGGGCACCAGAGCTGTCTCAGCAGGGGTCAAGGGTCAGCTCCCAGGCTGCTGGGGAAAGCCACCAGAGAAGGACTGAAGTGTCCCCACCAAGCCAGGAAGTCTTGGCAGGGAGGGGAGAGAGGCCATCTGGGATTCACAGACTGGCTGTCAGGAGGCGATTTTGCTCATCTCCCTCCTCCCCTGTCTTGAGGTCTCCTTCCAGTGTCTGGCCACAAGCAGAAGCCCAAACTAGCTGAGCTTACCGGCAATGGCACCATGGGCTGGGAGCTTCCCTGCCCAAGATTCTGCCCCAGACAGAAAGCATGGCTTT